CCCCAAAACCCCAAAACCCCAAAACCCCAAAACCCCTTTAACTGTCTAACGAGTGGAACTCAATAAACTTATTTTATGCTGATAATATCCTAATCCTTTGATGAGAATATGAACAAGCTTCTGTTCAGCATCTACTCTTCAGTCTCTGAAATGAGGTTTGATCTGGAGCCGCTAATTGATGAAAATACAGACCCGATAGTGGAAAAGCTGTGCCCTATAACACTAGAGGTTCCTGCAAATGAAAGTCTATCTGCTAGCATAAATAGTTTTCCGCAACTGGTTACTCCGCTTGTCCTAATTCTTTAAAATGTTATACTTACTTAAAATTAATTTGAGAATGCACGGCTCCTGGGTTCTTATAGGAATTCATTAAATTCCCAACTAATGACCCATGGAAGGTCTGTCTGTTCTGTTTGAGGTTCATTTTCTGGAGGTTATCTATAAAACTGCATAAGAATTTTTCGAAACATGGTATTGATCACTAATTTTACCTTTTGTTCAAGCCTTGTTCCTAAATAAATTTAACATTAACCCTTACTCTTCTGTGGTAAAGTTGATATGGGCAATAGTTTGTCTAGTTCTTTCTGGCTTTGACCCGTCCATTTTCTTTAGAGCATCTCTTGTGAGGTTGATGTAGTCTCTAGACTTACCAGAGGATTCAAACTCCTCTCAGTCTTCCTCTTCTTCAACTGTTGATATGTTTTGGGCTGGGATGAAATTTCTCTTGGTGTAGTTTCGCATTTTGGGCAATTTAAAGTCCCCATTCATAGCCATCTCTCTCTTTTTCTCTAACAAATCAGCTATGGAATCTTTTCTTCTCTTCGGCCCTAGATTGAGCTCCTTGATCAAGTCCATCCCATTCTTATTTTTGAGGGCTTCTAAATTTCTTTTTGCCTTTTGTAATTTCTATATTTTAGGAATAAGTCATACCTCATCATTCTTTGCTTTCAAAGCCATCAATTTATTTATACTTGTCCTTGTATTCTTTCATTGAGGAGATCAAGTCTTCTTTAGGGAGTTTAATCGAGGAGACATTGGCCCTTGCAGTAAAGGAGCTACCTGGATTCTCATGTAGATGCTCCATATCATGCTTCTTATTCTCACGAAGAATCGATATCTTGTACTTATAATTCTCATTATCGATTTCAAGATCAACTCTGTAGGCTTAGGAAAGAATGCTTACTTCTTTTTCTGAGAGAGAGTTTGGTTTAGTCTGAGTTCACCAAGTAGCTCCTTCTTGGATAAATCCTATGATATTTAGTCCATTTTCTTAATAAGAAACTTACATCAATATCTGGCTGGCTAGCCTTGACTATCTTCAGAGCCTTCTTAATTTTTAAGTAGTAGTCATATCGCTTTTTGAATTCTTTCTTGCGCTTCTTGAATTCTTTCTCAAAAGCTGATTTCAGGGTTTTCCTAGAGATAATCAGAATGGAAATTTACTGTGTGAATGATATGTTTAAGTCTTTTACGACTTTCTCAGATTTACGTATGGGCTTTTTCGTTAAAACTTTACTGGTCGAAAATAAGCTATCGTTGCTGTAGAATGATAAAGGAACACCTACACTTCAGATAAAGCATGCGGGTCTACATTTGCGAGGCTTCCGTTTTGATCTTCACCTTGTTGCATTGTTTTATCTATAATTATAGTTAGGAGGTGACTATAGTAAAAATTTGAAAGTTTGCTGGGTGTAAGGCGACTAAATTGTCATTTTGGTGTTGAAGATTCCGGAAATTGTAACAGAATAGTAGTTTCGTTCATTATAAGCAAAACAACTATAAACACCTTCACCCTACCTTCTTTTTCCATAATATAAACTTACTAAAATATTATTTAATTTAAATAACCAGAAACGGGGTTTTGGGGTTTTGGGGTTTTGGGGTTTTGGGATTTTGGGGTTTTGGGG